CAATAGAATATGCACTTATTTAAAGCGAAAGATGCTTATTTAGATTTTAATTTTTTGCAGTGTATAAGCGTGTCAAATTTTTCATAAGGGGGTGGGTGTTGGAAAAACAACGAGCCAATAATAACAATAACCATAGTGACGCGGTGTCGGACCTCCCAAAGGGAGGAGTCTGCTGCCTACTGATGTAAAATCCTCGCCTTGCATGCTTCCAGTCTGAGCTGCTCCTGGATGAATGAAAATGGCACCGCTACGATCAGGACTTTCCTTCCTTATTTTCATCTCTTTCTGTCTGCATGTTGCTGCAGAGGGAATGGAGGTGATCGTAGGGGACGGCTTTACATTCCCTGAAAGCTGTAATCTGGGGGAATCCGGGGAGCTGCTGGTTGAGAAAAAGTCTGGTCCCCTGAAGGTGGCATCATGTGGGGATGGGCTGTGGACGGTGAGCGCAGAGTACAGAGACAGAGTAAAATTCCGCTTTGAGAAAATAGTTTTCACCCACACGGTGTTCACTGACGGAGGAGCAGTGTACACCCTGAAGTGCTCCGGTGAACAAAAAGGAGAGCTCCTCCAGCTGAAGGTAGTTTTTGCGCATGAAATGCAGGTGAAGCAGGGTGAGAAAGCGGTCCTGCCCTGTTACTTTGAAACCAGCGGTAAAACTGATCTGAGCGCCGTTTGGAAGAAAGAAGGAAAGCCTCTGTGTGTGAAGAACTGCAGCCATTCCTCTGAAGACAGGCTGTCAGTACCTGGGAGCTGGTCCACAGATGGAAACCTGTCTCTAACCATCAGAGAGGTGCAGCCTGGGGATTATGGAGATTATTTCTGCTATAACAAAGACCAACCAGGAATGCCTGCTGCGGTTAGGCTGAGGGAGAAAAAGTCTGATCAGAAAACCACTGCTTCACCTGAACATCATGTGAGTGGCTGCATTCAGTAGATTTATTTTCTGCAGAATATTAAACTGTTGTTGTGTCATTCTCACTTCTTTCTCTTTTCTCCTCTGCAGCAAACACAGAGCTGCTCTGAACAGATTCATCCCTGGAAGATTTCCACTGGAATTCTTGCTGTTTTCCTCCTGATCACTTTAATCCTCCTGTTTTTGGTTTGTTGTCTATCTGGATTTGATTTTAGAAAGCTGTGCGAGCTGTTACAGAAAAAACAGCCTCCTCCTCAATATGAAGCTGCAGCGGTTTAAATTAGGAATCTACCGGCTTTATAGCTCGAATCAAGTGTTTTGTTTTTTTTTCTATTCAGTAGCAAAAATTATGATTCATCAATTAATCTATGCATGTTCCATCACCATAGCAACCAGAGACAGCGTAACAGGATAGTAAACCAGGTATTAATGTGTAATAAGCATTTCTACCAGCGTGTAAATATGTGTTTTTCCCTTTTATCTGTGAAGTCCAACGTGTTCAAGTTGCGTCTTTTGTTTATCCAGATGAATACATTTTTCAGGTGGGGTTGGTTTGATGTCTTTTTGCCATTTGCTGCTGTATGATATTGTCCCAAACTACATGTTTTAGTCTCTGTAACATTTAGATTACTAAATACATGAAAGATTAATTCATAAACGAATAAATAAATGATTACTCTAATTAATTGTGTCAGGGTGTGTGTTAATGTTAGAAAGTATTAATGTTGCTGTTATTGTAGCAGCACCAGGCTGGAGAAGCTTTTCCTGTATTAACTGTTCTTTATCTGACTGATAAGTTTTTGTGCATCTTTTATCTAAACAATCAACTTAAACTCCAAATATATTTAAAGGACAGGTTTAGAAGCTTTCTCTGGCCCTGCAGCTGCATTATCAGATGACAGCATAAGCGCGTCACTAATATCTTAAATAG